TAATTGGCTATGCAGCCGCTTTTTCCGAGCCCTGTGCCAAGCTCAGTAAAATCGCAGTCCGGCTGGGGTTATTTTCATCATGCAAATTCCCATTTCTGTAAACAGGGTTAAAGCCCCTGGAAGAGGCCCGGCTGGAACCAGAGAAGAAAAGCAGAGGGATGTGTTCTGTGAGTCTGGGAGTTGGTCAAACTAGGTCTCCATTCCTGCAGTGACCTGGGTGATTGGAGAGTTACTCAGATAATCCCACCTCCCAAACGCTTTGCCTTGAAAACCAGTGACTGGGCTCTCCTGGGTAAAAGCCCTGGTTTCCTTTACTTCCCCTTCCCTTTCTCCATCTGAAAAACTTACATCATCAAATCATGGAATCGGCATTCTTTTCTCCTTTTTTAATCACAGGAGCAAACTCAGGCTCAGCGAGGGGGAGGACTTACCCAAAGTTACCCAGCAAGTTTGTGTAAGAGCCCAGGCTAGCACATAGATTGCCTGACTGCCCAGCCATCAGGACCCCTGTAGGGCTGGGAAGAGGAGGAGGCTAGTGCTGATGCCCAATGCAGTGAGCACAGAGAGCCCAAGGGCCTAGCTCTGGGATGCTGACTCTGGGTATAATAACTGGGGGAAGACTCCCTCCCTCTCCAAACATACACACTGCCTGTCCCTCAGGATCTGGGAGCCGCCTGGAGAGGAGGAGGAGGAGCAGGGAGGCTCTGCAAGGGCCCTGGAAACCCTGAGTAATCAACAGGGGAGCCTCTGCCTGCCCCACCCAGTGATGGCTGCTGTCTGCAGCAGGGAGCAGAACCACACACGTGGGAAGAACGGATTTCTTAAACAGATGCTGAAAGGGAGCCCAGATTCTGAAGCTGGAAGGAGAATTCGGGCTCAGAAAAGAGTAAATAGTGTATTATTTGTAATATAATATTGTATTATATATAATATATTCCATATTGTATTAACATTTAGTATGTGCCAGGCACTATTGCTCAGTTTGTCTCGTCTAATTTCCACAAGTCTAGGATATGGGTATTAATATTATACCCACTTTCCAGATGAAAACACTGAGGCTCTGAGAGATTAGCTCTCTTGCCCAAGGTTGCCAGTGAGGACAGCCCTTTTTCTGAAGATTTTTGTGAATGGAAGACCTCTGGATTTCCTTCTTTCTTTTGCCAACCCCAAGTTACCATACCAGCCCAGCCTCCTCCTCCCCACACTTGCCTTTGTGCAGGCTACCTCCTTTCCTCAGATGTTCCTCCTCCCTCCTATTCTCAATCTTCCTCATCTCATCACCTCCCCTTCTTCAGACCCTAGGCCCCTCAGCCCCAGGGCCAAGGAATATTTGCATAGATAAACTTATGTGATGCCGCATTGAAACCAGCAACTCAGGCAGGTACAGGAAATCAGGTTATGAAACTCTGCATAACAACAACATAACTTCTTTCCCCAAGAAAACTGGTTGTGCTTAGTAGTGCGTCCTCCATGCACATCCAAACACACACACTCTCTCTCACACACACACACACATCAAAAACAGGAGTCTCAGTTGTGGTTCAAAACAAGGAAAATATTTCTGGTGGTTCAGGGTTATTTTGCAGCAGAATGGGCAGCCTTGTGAGGCACTGAGCCTCCTGTCACTACAAATGTCTCAGCACAGGCTGGAGGTCCCCTTTCCAATCGTGGTGCCAAAGAAATTCCTGAATGCTCTTTGCTTGTTTGCTCAGAAATCAATCCAACCCTAGGATTCCAGCTACATTACTGTACAAATATAGGTCCTACTTGTAACCTAATTGAATTCAGAGTTAGTGTGTAAATTTCTCTTCAATCTCTGAGTTGAAATATCATCAAGTTGGCTGATATCAAAGGGAGAAGGAGGAAGGAACCTCAGGTGGGAGGACAGCTTCTTGGGGTGGGGAGAGATTTTGATGGCAGTCCTTGAGAAGTCCATTGTGTTGGGGGCATCTTTGGGAAAACTGGGGGTGGGGGGAGCCCTGAAAGAGAAAATGGGAAAACAGTGTCTGGTGGATTCTGGGGGCTCCTGCAGCAGAAGACTCTAGCATGGGGGTATATAAGAGAAAGCTAGAACCCAGAATGCCCAGAGGGCTCCCCTCCCCTGAGAGCTCATCTCAGCCCTCTGAATTTCCTACCTTCAGCCTTGCTTCCTGCTCAAGCGGGGTCTTAAGTGTGTTATGTTCAGGTGTTCAGGTTCATCCTCCTCCCAGCTCTGGGAAGCGTGGACATGGGTTTTGGGCCTACAGGTGTATGAAAGATTCCCCTTCATTCCCTATGCTTCTGCCTGACCTAAGTCCTAATACCCTGCTTCCCAGAGTCTACCACATGAATTAAGAAGTGGAGTGACTGCCTCATCTTTCAGGGAAATTAAGAGCTCCCCAAATGAGTTGAGGGCCATCTGTGAAGCCATCTGTGACACAAGATCTGGGAGAGATTGGCATATAGTAAACTTCAGAGAGTCTGCCCAGGCCAGGTTTGGTGAAGCCACAATGGAATTTGGAGGTGTGGCTGGCACCTTTGAGCTCATTTTGTTTGGACCTTGAAGGACTGAGACAAGGATACCTCTTCCCCTACCAGAGAGGGTAGGTTGGAGTTTAGTGGGTTCCGTGACCTTTTGTCCATTTGACAAGTGGATCTGGAGATCCTTCTCAGGGACAGGCATGACCAAAGATGACCACAAGTCCTAATCTGTAAGAAAATGCTGGTTAGAAAGAAAGATGGACATAAAAAGAAAAAAGTCACTCTGATGTGATAA